TCCAGCTTTCGCAACCATATGAGGTTATTGAAAACACCATGGCTTGGGTCAGGCACACCTTAGTCCTTGAGCTGACACCTCTGCTCTTCAATACCTTAAAAAGTTCCTGCACAGCAGATTTGCCCAGTGCAATACATTGTCTGATCTCTTGACTGCTGCTTCAGATGATAATTGTAACCTAATGCTATAATTTAATATTTAGTTTTTAAGACTTAATGCATGCATGGTATTTAAAGAACATTGTTTGTATATTTATGCACAAACGCACACTGATCTGTGAAGTATTAAGAAAAATAACAAATCATAATTTGTGACTAGAACAAAGAGTACATTGATTTGCTGGTTTGTGAGGAAGAACAATAACTAACACTCTTGATGACAAGACTGAGTCTTATATGCAGAGCACCACACTACACGAAGCTCTCCTAGATTTCCATATAATTTCTTGGCTATGTTCTTTAAAGGGTCACACAGCAAATCCTCGAAAAAAGCAAAACATTATTCCTCAAGATAATATTAATGTTATAATACTTATCATGTTGATTTTCTTACATAGAGTCCCATTCTGAGGATAAATACGCCAAGCAAGAGGTTTCACTGGGAATCTAGAAACATGATACCAAGATGCAAGATAACAGAGCAGTAAGATATTTGGGGCAGTATTCAGTAAGTCATACATGAAAAGGGAGAAAACTTACTCTCAAAGTATTGGATGGAGAATCTACAGACTCAGAACTGACAGCCACACTAGACTCAAATGCAAAATAAGATGAATTCTTTTTTAAATAGAATAAATACAGAAAACAATTATTTTTTAAAATCTGTCTAGCGATTAGAAGCATGGTTGCTGTGGTAGAGGCAGAGGGAGCTCAGACCCATTGGCTCTCATCAAGGAGGAGATTGGATGGTGAGGCTTTGAACTTTCCAGTGCAGACCAGCTAAAAGATCTACAGTTAACATGGCTGGGTAGTTTTCTCTTTTTTTTTTTTTGATTGTTAAAGAAAGGTGGCAGTGTTCATTTCCAAGATACTGTGTTATAGTTATCCAGTACCAGAGTCTACAGAAATGGCTGAGTCCTTACTCTTCAGTGAAATATAATCTCAAGACCTAAATGAGGCTATTTGAGGCCCAAATTGATTGTACAACACCATTTCTCCCCTTACATTTGTAGAAACCAATCAAAGAGATGGTATGTTCCTTTGTTTCTCAAAAAAGACTTCCAACCCCTTGGAAAGGAAGGCATGATCATCAACAGCTAGTATGGGTTCGCTGATTAAGAGTTATGCCAAACACTGCATAACTTGGTTTTGATGGGGGCTTCTAGGACATTAAGTGAAGGGAACATCACTGACACTGTGTACCTTGATTTCAGCAAAGCATTTGATAATCTCTCATACTGTCCTTGTAGAAGTTGTGGGCTCTATGGTTGTACCAGAAGAGGGTATGTTGTATTAATGCTTCAAGGAAACTTAACCTTGTTCTATTTCAGGAATATTGTCTAAGACTTGGATTAAAGCATGTTCCTACTGGGAAGAATTATAATCCATGATCCTCATGATCCTAGTTACAACCAGGCAAAGGAAACAGAAGATTCCCATGATACATTAGTAGTTTGGACTCCAATAAGGTGTTGCCCAAATCTGGGTGTTTATCAGAAACACAAAAGACTGTATTTAAAAGTATAGACCCCAGACATTATTACAGACCTCCTCAACTAGAATTTCAAGGAGTAAATCCCTGTCATTTGTATTAAAAACAAAATAACCAAATAAAAATCTACTGAGGTATTCCTCAGGCAAACAGCTTGACATCCTACTTTTTCCAGGTAATCATGGCCATCTACCTGAACAATAAGCCAGTTGCTACTGGGTCCACTATTAATCATGGTGATCTTGTGTGTGGCAGAGTAGATTTGAGCTCTATTGGGTTTTTAATGATTGGTTTTGGTGAATTTGATCACCAGACTTTTCTCTACTTTTCTGGTGAATTCAAGCCTCTAACCTTTTAGTTGGCAGAGTCTAGAGTGTTAACCATTTGCGTCATGCAGGGACTCTACCCTAATAATCTGGATATAGTCATGGAGTTTCAAATTATAACAAAATCCTTCACTTTACTTTGTCTCCATCCAACCATAAGAGAGGAGTAGGGTAGGAGGAGTACAGTGCCTTGATAACCAGAGCATGGTCTTTGATATCAACTAGTCTTGGATTCAACTTTGCAGCCTACCAGCTATGCAAGGATACTCTACGCTTCTACTTCCTCCTCTTACAATGTGAGAGTGTAGTGAGATGACACATGTAAAGGGCTTGGCTGGCACATCAGTGTCCAGTAAATGCCAGATATTAGTATTAGGACATTGAGAAGGATGCCGGCACACTCTCCAGTTCTCTGGATCTTTGTTCCCTACTTTGACCAGATCATGCCCATTCTTCAGCTCTGCACAGAAGACGTCACCATCTAGTGAATACTATGTGCTTTAGGAGTCCCTGGGTGGCACAAATGATTAAGCACTATACTACTAGCTCAGAGGTTGGTGATTTGAACCCACCCAGAGCCACTTTGGAAGTCAGGCCTCGTGATCTGCTTCCAAAAGGTCAAAACTTTGAAAACCCTAAGGAGTAGTCCTACTGGGCCCCCGTAGGGTCACCATAGTCAGAACCAACTCAACAGCAACTCACAATGCCAACTACTTTGTGCTAGGCATTAGACCCATCATAGATCTAACTTCATTTATTGTTTCATCATCACCAAAGTACTCATATTCACATATGAGAAACCTGACACTGAGAGGGGTTAAATGATCTTTCCCAAGTTACCTCAATAGAAAGGGACAGAATCTGGAATCTGACATGAACTGAGAACTTGGCTATCAAACTTGCATTGAGGACTCCCCATGGCTTATTATTATTATTATTATTTTTAATGGTTAATACAAAACCACACCAAAACCCACTGTCTTCAAGTTGATTTCAACTTATAGTAACCCTATGTAGGGTTTCCAAGACTACAAATCTTTACAGGAGCAGAAAGCCTCTTCTTTCTCCTGTGAATCAACTGGTGGATTTGAACTGCTGACCATGTGGTTAGCAGCCCAATGTGGAACTGACCACACCACCAGTTTTCCATATTATACAAGAAGCAGAAAAAAAAAGTTGCCCTTCAAAAAATCTAAAAGGAGACATTTTGAAACTGCGAGGGAGGGAGATGCCACACCACCTACAGTCTCCATTACCTGAACACTCAGCAATTAACAAGAGGTAAAGTCCTCCAGCTCACAGCCAGAGAGTATTTTCTCCCTTACTTTCTCTCATTCTGGCTGCTTCCCAACAGAATATTAGATCCTTGTGGAAAGAAATTTTTATGTATTTTGTTCACTCCTATACACATGCTTAGAACAGCCTGGCACACATTGTTGGGTTGTTAGGTGCTATTGAGTCAGTTCTGACTCATAGTGACCCTATGCACAACAGAATGAACAACTCCCCAGTCAGGCACCATCTTCACAATTGTCGTTCCACTTGAGTCCACTGCTGCTGCCACTGTGTCAGTCTATCTTGTTGGGATCTTCCCTTTTTTCACTGACCCTCCAATTTATCAAGCATAATGTCCTCTCCAGGGACTGGTCCTTCCTGATAATATGTCTGAAGTACAAGAGATGAAGTCTCATCACTGTGAATTTTAAGAAGCATTGGCACACATTGGCATTCAATAAATGTTTGTGGAATGAATGGGCACATGGATGAACAGAGGTATAAAAGAAGATCTAGAAAGAAATCAAAGGTGAATATTAGAAGTAATTATTATCTCTTTAAAGAGCTGAATGTTCTGGCTTTTCCTATTATCAACTTGTATTATTTGTATAATAGTAAGTTTTAATTGTAACTTCACTTGTCCTGGAAATTGCTGATTTGAAGGTCAAGTGAAGGCAGAATAGAACTGGGGTTATCTTTTGGAAGGGGATTGTGCTGGGTATTTCCCACCAACTCCTACAGATCCACTCTTCACCTTTCCTCACCCTGCTCTGTACCATGGGGAGATTGTCCTCTGAACTTTATCAACAAGCTCCCTTAGGCTTTCAGTTGGTAAAGGAATGAAGATGGGATATTAATGCCTTAGCTCTTGGTTTTTCCTACTGAAGAGTTGAACATTGTCTGTGTCCCCCTGTTGAAGCCTGCCCACTCTTCTGTCAAATGCTCTCTCCTTATCCCTCCTCTTTCTGAGCTCTATAGCTGCTCCCTTCCTTTGCTCCCCCGCAAGCCTAGGAGTGGAAACCGCTCCCCTTTTTTGTGTATCCCAGAGTACTGCATTTCCTTCCCTGGACTTATGGACTCTGTCCATACCTTTTAAACAGTTCCCTTATTAATCTCATAGCTGGTAGTGCAGTGATTAAAAGCTTGACTACTAACCAAAACATTAGTGGTTCGAATCCACCAGGCACTCCACAGAAGAATGTGGCAGTCTGCTTTTGTAAAGATTGTTGTTGTTTTTTAAATGCCACTGAGTCAATTCCAACTTGTAGTGACCCTGTATAAGGTTTCCAAGTAGTAGTTGGTGGGTTTAAACTGCCGACCTTGTGGTTCCAAGTCCAGTGCTGATTCTACAGTGACACACCAAAAGTCCTGTAAAGATTATAGCCTCAAAAACCCTATGGGGACAGTTATTCTACTCTGTCTTGTAGGGTCACTATGGGTTGGAATCAACTTGATGGCAACAGGGATTTGTGTGTGTATGCATTCAATTGGTTGGTTTTCTTGTTGATGATTTTTAAATTAAACGCTCCTCAGTAACTGGGTTCATTTTGCCATAAATTTCTTGATGGACCTGTGACTAATTCAGTGTGAAATTGGGAAAATATGCTGAAGACCAAGGTTCTAATCTGTTTCATCACTGACTTGCTTAAGACTACCCAACTCTTCAGGCTCAGTTTCTTCATCTGAAAACCAATTGGGCAATGTGACCTCTAACAGTCTGTAATTCTAAGGAACCTTTTGCTTAGAGAATAGGGTTCTTGCTTTCCCATTGGCTAGAAAGTGTTGATTTAATCCAAGCAGATTCTGAAATGGGTTCACCCTTTCAGAAAGTCACTCACAGGGTTGTAGCTAGACTACAAAATGTAGAGCTAAGCTTGGCAGTGGTGTATTATTGTGAAGTACCTGCATTGCTAAACAAGAACATACAGACTCTGGATATTACCTACATTCTCCACTTTGGCCAACTATATTAAAAATACCTGAAGAATTAGGCAACCTCTACTTCACTTTGGACAGTATGAACATAAAATACTTAAATTTCTGAAACTAAACATTTTTTGTCTGCCAGGATCAAGACAATGCTTTCTGCTGATAGACCTAGGTGGTTGAACATAAAACCAGCCTTCAGCTTCTACTGAGGTCTTCTTTATTGCCAACCCAATTGTCAATAGTGAAAACAGATGGGCAACAAAGGATCCTCCTGAGAAGCGGGAGAATAGAAATAATATATGTCTATTATTTAGCTAAGCAGCATTGAAGATTTTAGTGTTGTGTCTTTGAAAGTCAGAGCAGATACAAAGTGGTGTGTTCCTACATCAGCTGTGCCATGCAAGTATGCCTGATGGTCCCTGTAGTGGTCACACTTACAGTGGTGGCAGGATGGACTATCTGACCCCTTCCCGCACTTCATCTCTCCCCATCCTCACACCTGTAAAGGAGGATATTTTAGACTCTGAAAAATATTTCTCCAAAGTTGCACTCTGAGAATCATTAAATACCGATAAGAAATGGATTGGGTCATCTTACAGGTACTCTGTCCCTCTTGTTCGTTTTTATTTTTAGCAGTTTAAAAAGTATTTATTTATACTGTGGCTTGGGTGAAAGCTTAGAGAAGATTAGTTTTCCGTTCAACAATGCACACACTTTTTTTCTTCTGTGACATGAGCTGCAATCCCCTTTTGTCTTTTCCTGTCCCATCTTGCCTTCTGAGCTAGGTTTTTGGGCAAATGTTGCCCTTTGAGTCTCATACAATTGCTTTTTCTGAGGAACATGTTCCTCATGCATGGTGGTGTTCATTTTAGGTCTACCTGGCTGAAAGGTGATTCCCCAAGAGTAGGTTCAGTTCCAGGTTTTGAGGGGTGTCTAAAGGCCATAGTCTTGGATGTTCCATCAGTCTCTATCAGTCCAGTAAATCTAGCCTTTTTAATGATTTTTGAATTTTGGTCTACTTTTTGTCCCACTCTGCCCAGGAACTTGCACTGTGATCCTGATCAGTTATGACATCCAGGTACCATCTAGTTCTTGTGGTCTCAGGTCAGTAGAGGCCATAGTTCATGTGGTCCATCCATTAGTCCTTAGGACTTTTATTTTCTTCACTCTTCTTTCTTACAGACAGGGAGAGTACAATAATTGCTTCTTAAATGACTGCTCCCAAGCTTTTAAAACCCCAACTACTACTCACCAAAGTAGGATGTGGAGTCCTGGTGTGGCGTTGAGGGCTAATGCTCTGGACTACAAAGTCAGTTTGAGCCACAAGGTCTGTGGCTCAAGCTCACCAGCCACTCCTTGGAAACCCTATACAGGATCATTATGGGTCAGAACTAACTCAACAGCACTTAACAACAACAACAACAAAGTAGGATTCAGAACATTTTTTTGTGGCTGTGTTATGCCAATTTTCCTAGCTGTTCCCAGAGACTGTGGCCTTATTCAGTGAATTCCAAGTTCAGTGACTCATTCCCTCAAAGAGTTTGGTTATTTCTAAAAAGGTTTCATAACATTGCCACCTGTCTACCCTACAATATTTATGGATATATTTACAGCCTAGGTATACACATATGAAGAAATACCCTCTGAGAAACCTACATATACTTATGGATATAGTTTCATTTACCTTCCCATGCCACTCAGTTTGGGTATCAATCTATGTATCTACTTGTAGATAATTATTTACTATTACTGTTATAGCAGGATTATGTATGTTATCGTTTTTCCCCTCTAACCCTGTGCACCTCTAGTATCTTCCATTGTGTTGATCATCCTCTATTATATGTTGCCTCTCCTTTCACCCAAATTAATATATGTCTATTAAGAAAACAAAAATCCTCACCACTGGACCAAAACACAACATTCTTATCAATGAAGAAAAGATGGAAGTTGTCAATTCATTCTTCTTGGATCAACTATCAACACTCATGGAAGCAGCAGTCAAGAAATCAAATGACATATTGCATTAGGCAAACCTGCTGCACAAGACCTTTTTAAAGTGTTGAAGAGCAAAGATGTCAGCTTGAGGACTAAGTTGCGCCTGACCCAAGCCATGGTATTTTCAATAACCTCATATGCATGTGAAAGCTGCCCAGTGAATAAGGAAGACCGTAGAAAAAATTGATGTTTTTGAGTTACGGTGTTGGAGGAGAATATTGAAAGTGCCATGGGCTGCCAAAAGAACCGACAGATCTTTGTTGGAAGAAGTGCAGCCAGAGTGCTCCTTGGAGGCCAAGATGGCCAAACTTCGTCTCTCATACTTCAGACATAGTGTCAGGAGGGATGAGTCGCTGGAAAAGGATATCATGTTTGGAAAGGTCGAGAGTCAGAGAAAAAGAGGAAGACCCCCAGTGAGATGGATTGGCAAAGTGGCAGCATCCATGGGCTCAAGCGTGGCAACAATTGTGAGGTTGGCCCAGGACCAGGCAGTGTTTCGTTCTGTTGTGCATAGGGTCACTATGAGTCAGTACGAACTCGATGGCACCTAACAACAACAATAAGTATCAGCTAGAATTGTGCAAAATGGAATCTGCTCAGCCAAACTTGGTGGCCCTGTCTGAGAAAGTCACTGGACTTTGGCACAGAGACTTACCTTTGGCAAAAGATTTGTTTTTTTAATTTAGCAAAAAATGTATCACAAAAAAGTAGTGAAATCTGTGTCTTGTTATAAGTGTGCCAGTTACAAAGATGCATGTGTGTGGCTTGATAGGTGTCTTTCTGATTTGCATCTGCATCTTTGTCAGTATAACATCAACTTACCCTGCTACACCACTATATTAACTGACTACCACATTGCTCTCTTACAAAATGGTACTCTGGAAAGGTCAGCACTATGCCACACCACCCACAAGCTCTCCTGAGGGGATCTACCCTGCCCACACTTCCTGTTAACGGGGCAGGCCCAGGCGCCATGTTTAGTACTTGACACCGTACCTTCTCTATTGACAGACTGATGCTAGCAATGGCCCCTGAATGACAGTAGAAAGTTCTAGTCTTCCCTGAAAGACTGGACCACTGGATCATTCAGATTCTCTCTAAGTTTGACACAATCATTCGTCAGTAGGCATAGGGACCAAAAGAAGTAGATATGTTCTGTGTTGTTTAATGATAAAAATCAAAGATTCATAAATTCCTGCTTCTCAGGGCTTGTAAGCCTCCTTGACTCTAGAATCACCCTTCAGCTCTGAGCACTTAAGACGAAGACTACATATGCCTCCTGTTTTTAGATTTCCATGGGGGTTCTTTTATCATTTTTAAATATTGTGACACTGAAGACCTGGTGTGATGTTTTGGGTTACTGCTCTGGACTGCAAGGTCAAACTGAACTGCAAGATCAGCAGTTCAAGGTCACTAGCCATTCCTCAGAAATCCTATAGAGTTGCTATGGGTCGGAACAGACTCTGTGGCACTTAACAACAACCACAATACAATACATTAAAGCTCCTTGTGTTGAGCTGACTGTCTATTCCTTTCAATACAAGGAGCCAGATTAAAACCAGTGGGAAATTTAAATGTGGTGCCAAATGAACTGCTGAGCCCTAAAGGCCTTCTGGAGAAATCAAAAGAAGCAAGACAAACTGGCAGTGTCTTGGTCACAACTGGAAAGGCAATAGAAGCCAAAAAAAGAAAAAAGGGAACTGAAAACTTTAAAGACGATTTGGAAAGTTCTTGTGTGTATGTGTCTCTATTGGGTACTCAGTGACTTATAGAACCAGTACCATGAATGTAGACGGCGTGGCCCCACTGAACTGACTCTAATGAGCAAAACCTTACATTTTAACAACCAAGTTTAAAATAGACTATGAATGCTTGCTGGTTATGAGGTATTCTAGATGTATTGCAATCACAAGTCATAGAAGCCAATTCACAAGAAAAACAGGACAATAATACTTGAAGTGGCCCCCAAAGCAGGTGTTCAGTGTAGGGTGTGTTTATAAGGCCTTGGTTTTTATTTCCACTATGCTTTGGAAACTAAATGACACTGTTCTTTATTTAAAAATGCAAATGCATTTTTTGTTCATATGGACTGTGGCTACACAAAACCCACTTTCCAAATATTTCCTTGATGGTAGTGTTTTGTGGTCAAAGATATCTTCCATAACCTGGATTTAAATATAAGTTGGACAATATCGAAATATCCCAATTTATTTCAAAGTGAATTTGCTTCCTGCTTGATCCAGGAAGGCATCTTACTAGTTTACAAATAAAAATGTACAAAAGTACAGTTTCACTACTTGAATTGATTTTTCTATGCCTGCGTTAAATGACCTTTGTCTCTTTTCATGGGGAGGCAGTGTGGTGAAGTGGCTAAGGTACGGACTTTGAATATAGATGGCCTGGGTTCAAATCCAGTCTAGTCATATAGCCTGACTCTCTCAGTTTCTTTATCCCTAAAAGGAGAATTCACCACAAGTGAATCAGTTTGCTGAGCTGTGGTGGTTTTGAGTTATTCAGATATCAGAGGTCATGCCACTAGTATTTCAAATACCAGCAGGTGGACAGGTTTTAGCAGACTTCCAGATTAAGATAAACTAAGAAGCAAGGCTTCCAAGCTACTTCTTTTAATTAGCCAATGAAAACCTTATAAATCACAAGAAAATACTACATGACAAGATGGCATACAGCCAGGCAACAGTTCATTTTGTTGTACATGGGGGTCACCACGAGTCAGAGTTAACTCAACGGGAACTAACAATATGAACAAAACCAGGAAAATAATAACAGTGCTTATCTCACTGTCAGTGCTGTAAGAAGGGAATGAGTGGATGGACAGAAACTGTTTGCAATAGTTCTGGGCCCACAGGTCATGTCTGTTACTATTTTTTATAAGTTTTTCGTTGAATACTCAAAGTAAATAACTAAGTCAACACATGTTGAATATACGTCGGTACTGTGCTAGTTGCAAACTTCTGTAATTCTGGGCAAAGCTCACAATGTTGTTGTTGTTGAGTGCCGTCGAGTCGATACTGACCCATAGCGACCCCACATAGGGTTTCCGAGGAGCAGCTGGTGAGTTTGAGCCACCGACCTTGCAGTTCAAACGGCTTTGCCGTCTGGTGCATTAAACCACAGCGCCACACCAGGACTCCAAGCTCACAATAGGAAGGCAGAAATTATCATTCCAATTTTATGGAGGCAGATATGAGGCTTAGAAGAGTTAACTATAAGCATACCTCGTAAATACTGGGGGCTCAGTTCTAGACGACCACAATAAACAAAGTTCACAATAAAGAGACTGTCTGGAATTTTTTTCTGCCCAGTGCCAATAAAATGATGTTTATACTTTATTGTAGTCTATTAAGTATACATTATCATTATGAAAAATTTAGAAATATTGCAAGAACTGCCAAAATACAACACAGAGACACATATTATTAGAATAGACTTACAGGTTGCTACAAACTTTTAGTTTGTAAAAACTACATTATCTGTGAATTGCAATAAAACAAGGTATACCTGTAATTTGTTTTAGGTTTCCTGCTTACTTATACTAAGGAGCTCTGGTAGCGTAATGGTTACAAATCGGGCTGTGAACCGCAAGGTCAGCAGTTCAAAACTACCAGCTGTTCCACAGGAGAAAGATGAGGCATTCTGCTCCCATAAAGATTTACAGCCTCGGAAACCCTGTACAGGGTCACTATGAGTCGGAACCGACTCCATGGCACACAGCAGCAGCAGCAGCTTACTAATACTAGTCAGAGCTAGGATTCATTCATTTACCATTTGTTTGTTGGGTACCGGCTATACACTACTCTAGGTGCTGGGAATGCAAAAGCAACCAAAACAGACAAAATCCTTGACCTCATGGAGACTGCTCTTACTTAAAGCAGCCAGCCAGCCACAGCTGGATCAGCAAATAAATATAGAATAGATTCGAGGGTAAAGGTGCTAAGAGAAGAAGAGAGAATATATGTATGGAGGGGGTGGTTGTGAGGTTCAGAATACAGATGTTGACAGAATAAGTAACTAGAGACGGTTCTACTGAGAAGGGAATATTTGATGAAACAGCAAGTCCTGGGACTGTCGGGCATAAAAAATTCCAAGCAGAGGAGAGAATAAATGTAAAGAGTAGCTTTCCGGTCATGTTCCAATAACGGCAAAAAGCCCAGGATGGCTGAAGCACAGAAAAGAAAATACCTGAGGGCTTGGCAGATGTTGCTATTTGCTGGTGGTCAAAAGACATCTGGAGTTGGTGAGTGTTAAACGGAGGTTCTGCCTCCACAAATTGAACAAGCTGTACAAAGTCACAAGAGTCACCAAGCTGGGCAAGCAATGTGTTTGGCAGCTCATCAAATGGTTGAAGATTTGAGTTCACTCAGAGGCCCCTCAGAAGAAAGTTCTGGAATCTACTTCTAAAAACTCAACCACTGACAACCCTACTGAGCACAGTTTTACTCTGACACACAAGGTGTCCCCATGAGTTGGCATCTACTCTATGTTAACTGTTTTGTTTTGCTTTGTTTTAAAGAAGCCACTTGGAGCAGCCTCCCCCTTGGAAAAGTCGTCAAGTCTTCCACTCTCCCCATATTGTCAAGAGAAAAACCCAAGCTCGGCGTTTGCATTCAGGTGGTTCACTGGGACCGGAAACCACCTTCCCCCGTCGGACTGGAAGCCACCATGACGATGGCGCTCGAGGACTTGCAGAGTCGAGCTGTGGTCTCTCTGAGCTCATCACAGTACCTTCCTATGCGGGAGTTTCATTTCAAGGTCATTTTTGGTTCCTTTTCAGTAGCAGACTCAGAACCAGACCTTCTCATGTGTCAGAACAGGGCAGATGCTTTAATAGCCAGACCCCAGTGGGAGTTTTATTTTCCATTTCCTCCTCCCCCTATTTATTTGTTTCTTCATCTCCTCTGTGTGGTAAAGGTGACCTTGCATGATATTTTCAGAAGGAAAAAAAACACCAACTATAAAAAGGTTACAGTGAAGAATGGTTAAGCGTGTCATTCTGGTTTGGGACCCACTCTTCTACAGAGCTGTCAGGTGTTGTCATTGGGCTGTTTGGTTTAAATCTCTTTCCACCACTCAGAAGCTGAGTGACCTAAGTCAAAATGCTCAACCTCTCTGACTCTCAGTTTCCCCGTTTTAAAATGATACATAACAAAATCTGCTTCATAAGATGACTATGAAAATTAAATAAGACCATTTAGTGTTTGAGAATTTGTCCAAACTGGAGCTGACTTCCTTTCCTGGAGTGCTCTGCATGCCAATGACAACTGTGACCGTCTCTGTATTTCCACTCAAGATGAGAGTCAAATATTTCCTACATGCTTTCTGTCTTCTGCTGAAGGTTCCATTCTTCCTGACGCCAACACCCAAAGCTGATAAGTCTCTCTAGTTCTTAGGAGGAATTGGTCACTACCCCAAATAAGAAAGATGTTCTCACTGCATTTATGACTTTCCTTGGGGCAGGCTCTGTGAGGCTTTCTTACCTCCTGCAGGGCACTGTGGGTAATGTTTGTGAATTCTCTGCTAGGAATATGAAGAAGCGGTGTAATTTGTCTTTTGGAATAGGAGCACACTGATTTTGGTTACTATTATTTAATGGTCATCACCATTAACTTGGTTTGTTGTTATTGTTAGGTGCCATCGAGTTGGTACTGACTCATAGCGGCCTTATGCACAGCAGAACAAAACTGTCCGATCCTGGGCCAACCTCACTACTGTTGCCATGCTTGAGTCCATTAAACTGGCAACGTAGTGGTTTAGAATTGGGCTGCTAACCTCAAGGTCGACAGTTGGAAACTACCAGCTGATCCGCAGGAGAAAGATGAGGCTTTCTGCTCCTGTAAAGATTTTCAGCCTCAGAAACCCTGTGCAGGGTCACTATGAGTCAGTACTGACTCCACGGTACTTAACAACAACAGTAACAACCTTATGAGTTCTTGTAGAAAAGGACAAAATCAATGCACAGTTATAGCAAGAAGCCTACCTGGGATATGCCAAATGTTCAGTATTACTATTGGAAGTAGTGTAAGTTGGTGAATAAATGATAAATCAATAGCAGCTACAGCATTTTATAGGAACAACCAAAGTAACTATCTTAGGACCATTATACAAGGGTATGTTGGAGAGTATTTTTACTAGGGTTCTAGTTCATAATACATGGTTTATTCCAAACAAAAAAAAAAGATGTTAATATGTGCATATGCAATCAGTTGATGACTGCAGACATGTTCTTTCCTCAACACGCTTGCTTGTGTTAATCTCATTAGTGTGCCTTCAAAAAAAGTATACTAAAAAAGTGTTGTGCAAACACCAACTCGCTCATCTTTCCATCAATCTTTTAAGCAAGATAAAAGCTAATGAAGATAATTTTCATGGAACAAATTGTAACTGGGAACGAATCTTGAGTTTACCAACGTAATTCAGCAAGCAAGGTCTAATCAAAGCAGTGGTTCCAGAGGAGAGTCGATGTGGTGGTGGTGGCTGTGTATCATGGAGTCGGTTCCAACCCCATAACGACCTTGTACAGGGTTTCTGAGGCTGTCAATCTTTACAGGAGCAGAAAGCCTCATCTTTCTCATCTTTCTCCCATGGAGCTGCTGGTAGTTTTGAACTGCTGACCTTGAGGTTAGCAGCCCGATTCGTAACCACTACACTAACAGAGCTCCTTGAGGAGAGCTGATAAGCTAGTGCAATTAAGGACAGAGGGATCAGTTCAGAAGGCTGTGGCAATGGTTTTATGGGGGATCCCAGAGGGGTCATCTTGATACATTTTCACAAAGGACACCGGATGATTATGGTAACTTATTAGGAAGAAGATTTTAAAAAGACCTGGAAAATTCCACTAAGGATTTTTTCCCCCCATCATGCCGATGCCTGTGTTCATCCTTTGAGGACAGCCAGGGCTGTTTTAGAATTTCACTGAGAAAACTTTCCCCATCCAGCCTACAGCCCTGATCTTTCTCCTCCAGATTTCTTTTTGTTCCCCAAGCTCAAAGAACATTAAAAAGGAATACTATTTGAGTCTCTGCTATGGCACTGTAAGATAAGCACTGGACTGCTAATCACAAAGTTTGTGGTGCAAACCCATCAGTTGATCTCAGAAACCCTATACAGGGTTGCTATAAGTTGGAACCAACTTGATAGCACTTAATAAAAACAGCAAGGATGCCAAAGTGCTGTTTTGATATGGTTTTAATCAAATAGCACAGAATTCTTTGGGGAAAGATTAAAGAAATAGAAGCACCACCTTCAGAAATTTGTAGGCCTAGACAGAGGATATAACAAAAAACAATAACTTCTTATTTTGATGTTTTTGTTTCATTAAGGTTTCTATGATTTTGTAAAAACTGTAGCTGTCAGAATGGATTGCATCTCAACATAAAGAAAATTAAAATCCTCACAACTAGACCAGTAAATAGTATCATGATAAATGCTTGTATACACAATCAATGCTCATAGAAGCAGCTGTCAAAAAATCAAAGGATGCATTGTATTAGGCAGATCTTCTGCATAAGACCTCTTTAAAGTGTCAAAGAGCAAAGATGTCATTTTAAGGACTAAATTACACCTGACCCAGGCCATGGAATTGTCAGTTACCTCATATACATGTGAAAGTTGGACAATGAATAAGGAAGACAGCAGACGAATAGATGTCTTTTAATTATCAGGTGGGCAAAAAATATCCAAAGTACCATGGATTTTTTAAGAATAAGCAAATCCGTCTTGGAAGAAGTACAGTCAGAATGCTCCTTAGAAGGACATTGAGATTTTATCAGTCATACTTTGGACATATTGTTAGGAAGGACCAGTCCCTGGAGAAGGACATCAGTCCCTGGTGAAGTGGAGGGTTGGTGAAAAAGAGGAAGACTCTCAATGAGATGGCATGACACAGTGGCGGCAACAGTGTACTCAAACATGACAAACACTGTGAGAATGGTACAGAGCCAGACAGTGTTTCATTCCATTTATATAGGTTCACTGTGAGTCAGGAATGACTTAATGACACCTAATAACCACAATAACATGATTTTGTACCAGTGATTTTTTTCACTTATTTTAATAATGGGAAAATGTGTCCTGGGAATTTGTCTGTAGTTCAAAAAATTTAAACAAAATAAAATGTTTTGTATTGGCTTCAATCATCATTTTACAGATAATGTATCATGGGCCCTGGCTAATCTTCACCAGGTTTGTGTCTCTTCAGGTTTTGTTTTTAACCTGTGGTCTGCCATCACTACAACCTTAATATAAAATAGTTAGATGACCTTGAAACCAATCCATGAAATTCACTCAAAGGAAAGTGAAGGATTTCCCACCAGCAAGATGTAGACATCTGGCAACACAATCATCACCCTGGACTTGGCTCATTTTCAGTTCAGATTACACTACCCCAGGTACTGTGAAGGATACGTCCTAAGGCAAAAGAGAGGAATTTAGCTTAAAGATACAGGACCCATCAGTTCTACACCTAGCTCTGTACATAAAGACATGCTCATCAAAAGACATGTACAAGAATGTTCACAGCAATGCTAGTTACCACAGTCCAAATGTGGAAACAACTGAATTTCTGACAATAGTAGGAGGATAAACTGTAGTATATACAGTCAATGAAATATTACCCAGCCATTAAACAAATAAAAGAAAAGAATCTATTACTACACACAGCAACTTGAGTGTATACAAAACTTTTTTGATAAACAAAAGAAGCCAGTCACAAGCGAGTAGGCTTTTATGATTTCATTTACATGAGGTTTTGAAGCAGACAAAACTAATTTGTGGAGATGGAGATCAGAATAGTGGCGACCTTGGTGGGAATGGGGATGGGGCTTATGGAATTAGGAGGAACACAAAGGAGCTGCTGGCTGCTGGAATGTTCTAGATCTTGATAATGGTAGTGGTTACACAGGTATAGACATACAAAAAAAAATCACCATCTGTACACTTAAGCTTTTGCGCAGTTTACTCTGAGTCATATACATCTCAACTTGAAAAATGAAAAGAGAAAAGAAAAATAAATAAATAGGTCAATAGGAGTTCTGGGTGTCTTTCCTAAGACTCTGGGATCATGCACTTAAGAACACAATTCTTGCCCTGTGTAAGGATGGAAAATGTGACTCCCACACAGATGCACTTGACCCTGGGTTACATGTGGCATGTCCATCATTCACCAACATCACTGAGGGCCTGGTAGTACCATGGGAACAGACTCGTAATGCCCCACATTTACTGGAGGAGGCCACTCTTCTGGAAGAAAGCATACACATAGTTCTGTCATGCTGACATATGCTGTAAGAAGGTGCCACCTTCTCCTCCATTAACACCATCGGAGGCAATGGCAGCAGTCATGAGTTCCAACGTTTTCAGTGCTTCCAGATCATGCTTGCTCTTCCCAACTTTAAGTCCATTTTCCTTCCTATTTGCCAGTCCTGTTGGTCTACAGAGATTTCTGGTTCCTCTGGACACTGAAGCAGCACTCTGCCACAAACTTCTCTACCAGCTCTCACAAGTGTTCAGGGTCCAACCTTTATAACAAACTTCTGTTT